CCAGGTTGCTCCAAGCCCCATCCAAGCTGGCCTTGGACACTTCCAGGGATGGGGAAGCTGCAGACCCCAATGAGGTTTCCCTTCAGCCTCCTGGACGAACCGAGTGAGCTCAGCCTATGGCTTCCCCTCGAGACTCTTCACCATCCTCGCAGCCGAGTCCACACCTCGAGCTGTCCGTGATGCTGAGAGAGCCCAGACACAGTGAGAGCTTCTAACCCGCCCAGGCTTGGGGAACGGGAGGGGGAGTTATGGCCGCCATCACTCCCTGACTACAACTCCCAGCAGCCCCTTCGCGCCGCCGCGCTCCCGCCCCCTCACACCATTGGTGCATCCCTCAGGAAGCGCTCTCTCCCTTCCCATTGGCTCAGCGAGCTGTCAATCCCGGCTCGGCGGCGCGCAGCAAACGGTGCGCTATTCACGAACGGCACTTACGCCGTTTGCGCAGCGGCCGGGGCGTGGCGCCGCGTGGGGGGCGGTTGCGCAGTTGGCGTGGCGCATGCGCGGTGCGCGGCGGCGGGGTTGGGGGGGCGCAGCGGAGCCCCGGACAGCTGGCGGGGGTAAACAGGGCCGGGGGCGGGGGGCACGGCCGGGGGGCCCTCGGGCACCCCCTGCGCTCCGTCCCGTCCCGTCCCGTCCCGCTCGGGCCCGCATGGATGGAGCCTCGCCGCTGCCCGCTGCCCGCCGCGTTCGCGCCCGGGAGGCCTGACAGGTAACGGCCCCCCCTGCCCCCCTCCCGCGGGCCGGAGGGGCCTCCTCGCCCTGTCAGCCGCCCCCTCCTGTACCCCCTTCCCTGTCAGCCGCCCCCTCTCTGTGCCCCCTTCCTTGTCGTCTGTCCCCGCTATGCCCTCTTCCCTCTGAGCTACAGCCCTCATAGCCCCTTCCTTGTCAGTCGCCCCCTCCGTGCCCCCTTCCCTGTCATCTGTCCCTGCCGTGTCCCCTTCCCTCTGAGCTACACCCCCCATAGCCCCTTCCTTATCAGCCACACCCCTGTGCCCTCTTCCCTCTAAGCTACAGCCCCCATACCCCCTTCCCTGTCAGCAGCCCCCCCCCACCCTGTCAGCCCTGTACCCCCTTTTCTCTGAGCTACACCCCCCCATACCCCTGCCCTGTCAGCTGTACCCCCTTCCCTGTCAGCTACACCCCCCGTGCCCCCTGCCCTGTCAGTGGCACCCCCTTCCCACTGCTCCCTGTGCCCTCTTCCCTCTGAGCTACAGCCCTCATAGCCCCTTCCTTGTCAGTCGCCCCCTCCGTGCCCCCTTCCCTGTCATCTGTCCCTGCCGTGTCCCCTTCCCTCTGAGCTACACCCCCCATAGCCCCGTCCCTGTCAGCCACACCCCTGTGCCCTCTTCCCTCTAAGCTACAGCCCCCATACCCC